TTCTGTTCATCAAATGACACCATTAATACAGTGAAAAAAGCAGCCCAAGTAGAGGGAAAGATATCTGTGATAGACAGACCTAACAAAGATGTACATCTAGCATATACACATATCAAACCATTAACAAAAATCAACCAAATAGAAAAAAAATGCAAAAAGTTTTAAATAAGTACTTTATACACACACAAAAAAATCCAAACAGCCAAAAACATAGTACTAGGTGCTAAGCCTCATTAGTCATCAGGGAAATGTAGATTAAAACCGCAACGAGATAGCAATACATACTCCAAGATTAGCTAAACTGGGAGAAGTCTATTGATATGAAGTATTGGCAAGAACGCAATGCAAGAGGAATGCTCATACAACGTCTGTAAGAAGAATAAATAATACCACTTGCTTTGGAAAACATTTTGGCATTATCTATTAAAATTGGAAGATATACAGACCCTATGACTCATCAGTTCCACTTCTAAATACATCCCATACAGATCGGTATGCTAACATATACTTGGATACGTATGTAAGATAGTAGCATTGTTTGTGAAGAGCCCAAAACTGAAAACTTAAGTTTTCAGTTAGGTTTTCAACAATGAAAATGGAGTTTATTCACTTCATGGAATACTATACAACAACAAAAATCAATCAACTACAGTTATATACAACCATATAGATGAATCTTAACATTGAGCCAAAGAAGACAGAAATGAAAGAGTACATATTGCACAAGCACATTTATATAAATCTCAAAATCAGAGAGAACTACAGATACTCGGGCAGCAAAACATAAAGGCAAGGAAGTGATTGCCACAAATATCAGGATATTAGTTACCTAACGGGCAAGGATGAAAGCTGTAATTAGAAAAGGGTCAGCAAGGGGCTTCGGGAGTCCCAAAAATATTCTGGTGTGCTCATGATGGTGGTTACATGAATAGTCACTCTAATTCTTTTCTGCATTTTTCATATAAAAATAGTTTAAAATTCAACTCAGTGAAATTCCAAACAACACGAAAAAGGAATCAAGACTCATCAAAACTGTTCTAGTACAGTAAATTAAACAAGTACCAAAAATGTCCAAAAGTATATTTTAAAATTAAATAAAATGAAATACAAGGCAATTGTTCACTGTTGGTGCAAATTTGCACAGATGAGGTTGGCTTTTACATGGAACCCAAGGCTCTTTTGCTCAAACTAACCATAAAGGAAGACTAACATGTTCATTTAAACACATATAATTATTAAATGCTACGGCAGGCAGATTCTAAGATGGCCTCCAAAGATCTCCACCTCTTAGTATTCACACCCTTGAGTAATTCTCTACAAGTGTAGACTAAAAAAATGATTTGCTTCTAACAAAGGAAAAATGACAAAAGTGTTAGGCTATAACTTCCAAGATGAAGATACAGAAATTATTTTACTTTTGTCTTGCTTTCTTACTCTCTCCCTTTGAAGGGCAGCCAGCTGCCATGTAGTTAGCTAGCCTATGGAGAAGCCCATGTGGCAAGAAATTGATGTCTCTTTCCAAAAGCTAGTGAGCAATTTGAAAGGGTTCCTACCCAAGTCAAACCTTGAGGTAACTGCTTATCCAGGCCAACACCTTTACTGCAGCTTGGTGAGAAACCCAGAGTCAAGGCACCCACCTACTCTGCACCAACATTCCTGACTCAAGAGATTAAATGTTTGATGTTTTAAGCCATCAAGTTTGAGGATAATTTGTTACACAACAATAGATACAATAGATAAGTAACGCAAATGCCTACTAGGTACCTTGCACTTTCCATTCTCTTGATATTCTAAAGAGAGTCAGTAGGAAAAAATAAGTCAAAATTGAAAATTAAATGGATTCTAATGGCCCTAAATTACTAGCCAGATGTGACCTTGGGGTAATGATTATGTTAAATCTGAAAGGCATATTTAACTTCTTTGATTGGTATATATCAACGTCTACACCAACACTCAATATAATAACCCCAATTAAAAGTTACAAATGAAATCACAAAGTTAATTTTCAAAGTATGCATGGTTAATCTTAGGAAAACAAATTGAAAAGTAGCAATTTGCCTCCTGGTATATCTATATTTCACTTGAATAAGTTCAAGTATATAAACTATACTACAGAAGGTAAGACCTTTAGCAACTATATTCATTTTGAGGATTAAACATGCAAATAGATTTTATAATATATGCAAGAAGAAAATATAACCACTCACTTCATTCTGTCTGCACTAAAACATGAGAATTAATCAACTATGTTTTCTACACTAAAGCTTATTATGATTACAAATTACTATAGTATCCAATTCCAATCATGATAAAATTTATGAAATTTAATCAAAGGAATAGGTACATTTTTAAAATATGTTAACCTAGTTCCTCAGAGTTGCCTTGCATAATTAAAACTGAAATAGTCACTCAATCATGGATAGATTAAAAAGAAAACTAAAATGTATTGATGACAGTATAATCATTGCACATAATGGGAACCAATGTCCAGAAGTACTTGGACCTAGTTACGTTTCTTGGTTAAACTACCTACTATAAGAAAATACAGTCCAAAGGGTGAAAAAAACCAAAATCAATCACAAGGATTATATTAGATTCAAACCAAAGTCAAGCTGAAAGTCCTATAGCACAATTGATCCAGAAGTTTAATAACAAAAAGAAAGTAACACTATACTGGAGCTATAAGATCAAAGGCAATATCATAGAAGGTGTTATTGGGAGCGACTAGCCAACACATCAGAGAGAGGACAAATTGGGATCACAAAAAAGGGTACTGTTGGGAGAGAATTCTCCATTGATCTCTCCAGTTTCTGCCTATTTTGTGACAGCTTTCGTTCTGAATTATCTTTCCAAGAATGTGTGTGTACAGCAAATAGCCAGGCAAGACAGAGATAGTGACTTCCTTCAGGGCAGAGAGTAGATTTGTTTTCTGACCAATATAATTAAAATAGTGTCTCCCTGCAGAACAAAGATTGGAAAGGTTTGCTAGTAGCCCCCTTTAAAAGACTGGGGTTTCCTAAGATCAGGGTTCCTTTGCTGTAACACAAATCCACTGTATGTGCAGCATTCACCTGGGCCCATCTTCACATTGCCTCTGTGGGACTTTGGGGTCAGGGGAACTGACACAAAGTGAAATTGTTACTGCCAGTTGTGCCCAGAGTAATAAAGTCTTTTATCTCCAGCAGTTTCAGGTCTTCTGCCAGCATCAATGAAACTACGACAGGCTAACTTCTTAGCTTGCTAGTAAGTGTAAAACCCTCAGAACCTTCACAGTTTTTTACACTTACAAACTGTACCATTATCTTTGAGACAAGGTCAAGACTAACAATTTCTTGCAGGTATCAGGAGACTCCTAGAGAGGCAGTGATTAATACTGAAAAACCCCAGGCACTAATGAAAACCTTAAATATTTCAGGACATAGATAAAAATCAGCCATTTCATTTAACCCCACGTATCCTTATGCTTGGACTGCTCACCTTGTGGATTCATTTACTCATTCATTATCAGGTACTTTCTTATCGACAGAATCTCATTCTCAGTGAGTTTAAAGTCTAAAACAAACACATAAAACTACTACAATTTTACATTCTATTTAAAATGAGGTTGTATATCAAATATAAAAAATTATTACTTTTTCAGAGAATTTTCTACAGCAAAAAATGTTGACAGTGTACATGTTGCATTAATCATTTTATTTCCATATATTAAAAAATTTTCAGCCTTGCTAATCAAAGTGTGGTCCAAGGACCACAAGTTTCAACATCATATGAGCTTGCTAGAAATGTAGATTGTCAGGTTTTGACACAGGCCCCCTCAATCAGAACTTGCATTTTAACAAGATCCTCACACTTACTGCAGTTTATACTGCACTACTAGACATTTAAACGAATGAATGACTGGAAACCATCTCATCCCCAACCAAATAAGAAAAAAAAAACAAAACCTAAGAGACACAAATCTTAAATTTATAATGAAGATGATTCTATTAATAGACATATTAAAATCACAATTGTTAACTTAACAAAAGTTAAGGATAAGAAAAATATAGTCACAAAGCATGTAAAGAATATTCAGCTATCAATACTAGCATAATCCACTAAAATCTAATCTGAACAAAGTCAGAAAAAGTTAAAAACAAGACATAATGAATATTCAAAAGAAAGGGAAATATCATACTAAGACAATATCATACTAAGACAATGGAAAGTTCTGGTAATGCACACTTAAAATGCTTCATCAAAATAAAAACATCTCTCATCTTTTTATTTTCAAACAGAATAAAGATAGCCCAGAACACAGCACAGCTTATACTTTTTTAAAATGAGTAAGAAGTACCCTACCTACACAATCCTTAAAGTAAAAATAACAGATTTGAGAACCACTAGAAATTAAAAAAATAACAAAACAAAACACAGCATTCAGAGTTATTTTAGCATGCTATCCAGAGCACGGGATTTTGATTATTTAATTTTCTCATATTTTGTATATGTGTGAAATGACTGAGGAATTTTATAAATGTTAAATTAGAACATTCTGGCTATAAGATCATTAATACAAAATTACCTTTTAGCTATTCTCCATGACTTAGACTTTCTAAGTTCTAAATAAGTACCTATGTTTTTACCCTCATGCATTTTTACCTCATGCATTTTATGGTTAAGAAAAACCATAACCCTAGTTAAGGCTTTATTATCTAAATTTTTCTAAGTTTTCCTTTCATGGCTTTCATTTGATAATTCCATTTTCTATTCTTTATAGCTCTGAGGTAACTCACTGCAGTCAATCTTACTGAAAACTTTTCAGCGTGTCTCCACAAAAGGATTTTTTAAACGTCAAGTTGTAAAGGTAAAAGTTAAAACAACAAAACTTAAGAAAATCTAAATATTCAAATGCTTTTCAAAATATTTAAATAAATTTTTTAGCCTGAAATGCTTTTACAAAACAGAAACAATCAATAACAGTAAATGAAACATTATGTAAAACACACAAAATAATATACCTCTCTCTTATTTCTTCTTGCAACTTTGAGGAATTCCATAAGAATCTGTAGTTGGGCTGCATGTGATTCCTACAATAAAAAATTATAATTGTTCTTTTAAAAAATGTAACTTTGAGTTCAAAGTTTTCTTTAACATATTATATATAACCAGTAAGAAGCAACTTGACACATCCATTTAAGTTAGTCTATTAATTCTATTTAGTCAGATTTCCCAATTGTTAGTTGGCATTTCTAAAATCGAACAATTGTCTACAAAACTAAAATTAATTTTAAGAAACAGGTGTTCTAAATTACATTCCTCATCTACCATGCTGAAAAAGCTATTTATGGGGAATGGTAATTCTGTTAACTAACTCCTAGCCTGCTCTCCTCCAACTAAACTAATAAAACATCAAGACAAAAATCAGAGTGGAACACAGGTTCCAGACACTAAAATCACTTTCT